AGAATGAAGGGCCCGTGCATCAGGGCCAGAGGCCTGGGAGAGGTCAGAGCAGCCCCAGGCTCAGAGCCTGCCATTGATGGCGATTGTGGCCCAGACGAGGCCTGGAGTCACCAGATGAGTCTGCTGCCCCTGAAGGCCTGGAACACTATGGAGCTCTCACGGGGCCCTTGGCTGCCTTCAGATGCCACCCAGAGGGCAGTGTCCCCGAGCCCTGCACAGAGAGCACAGTTCACTGGTGTCTGCGGGTGAAGGAATGTGGTTTTAGACAAGTAACCAGAGCTGGGGAGTCAGGGTTTCGTTTCCATTTTCCCTGTCCTGTCCTTACACAGAATCCGGACATCGTGTGCCATCAGATCGGAGAGACTAAGGGAACCACAGAGAAAGCTCTGGTCAGAGCAAGGGACGTGGGGGACGCTAGGAGAGATAAAGTCTTCGGGAAGTAGTTCTAGAGTCGACTGAATGTGACTATTATGAAGCAAACTACCATAAATATGTCAAATAATGTGACCAAATTTCAGGTCTCATGTCTTCTTAGAAGCCACTTAGAACAGTGTTTGAAACATTAAGATGTTCATTAAATATTTCCTGAATTAAATTTAAAGCATAATCCTCACTTTGGGATGGCTAGTTTTATTATAAATGAAATTATAGAGAATTTACAGAAAATTTACCTCACCTACCGAATACCTTATTTACTCCGTCTAAAACCAATTTAATAGTGGTTAAATATCTACCCGTGTGTCATAGCTTAAGACTCATTAAATAGAACCTATTTGTGGCAAATATTCACACAAGCCAAGAAAGAAAAAAAAAGATTTCCAGATGTTTATTTCTGGAACTGTACAGGTATTAAAGTACAACAAATACAAAATAATGCTCAAAAAAGTCAGTGTTTATGTACAAATATTAAAATCAATGCAACAATAGCAACTTCCTCTTGAATATCTGTTACTAAGACTTGTTCTGATTGTCACTAATTTATTTCACTCACAGGATACTTAGCTCAAACTGGGATCATTGGATCACTGGTTTTCTAAGAGGAATTTTAATATCTACCATTTTAATAAAACTAATAGCTTCCTCCTTTTAGTGAAAAATTAAGAACTTTTTAAAAAACATAGTAATGTCAATATTCTTATAAATTATTTCAATCTCCATTTGTAGACAATGTGCTTTGAAACTGGGCAAACAATCTCCTTGGTGGTCAGGTTCCTCCATTAGTTTACATTCAGGGTTGCAAGAGTCACTGGAAGCAGCGCAAGCTCGGCTGCCGGGAAGTATTGCTCAAGTCGCAGCACCATCGCACCCACCACTGTCCCCAAGTCTCCGCAGAAAAGATCATCGGCCACACTGCAACCGCTCACCATGGGTTTTTGGTTTGTTCATATGAAAATAACACAGCGAAGGAAAAAAACAAAAAGAACTTATCACCGTTTGTCACAGAATGTGCTTAGCACTTGGTAATAAAGGCATCGCTGTCTCTTCATCTGGCTGCAAATCCATTATCTTCATGCTCTCAAACGCAATTCTTCTGACAAACAGTAACAAATTCTGTGTTAAGATGCCTCAATGGAGAGGGGGAAACAGTCAATCCAGCTTTTAAAAGAAAATTCAATAAATAGCTATTTTACATGGACAAAGTGGTATAGTTCATGTATGTCACATCAAGCATGCACGAAAATGGTATTATACATGGCAGACGCAGTCAAAAAATACGGAATCAGATCTAAAAAGATAGGAAGAATTTACACATATATACAAAAATCTTGCAGATTATTGCCTCATTTTCATAAGGAATTAAAAGTAAACATGGCCAGCCCGCCAGCACTCTCTAAGAGGCTGAGCCAGCTTGGCAGTTAAACATCTATGAAACTAGCTGGAGTTTATGTTTCTCTCATATCATTTTCTGAATTTTGGTCAAAAATCTTTATTCAGGAAACTAACGTGTCCATTCCACTTGCTGATCATCAAAACCTGCGATAAGAAACACCGTTTCCATCCTGATCGAGCCCCAGCAATGCACAGCTACACTGACTAGACCGTGGCGCCGGCCATGGGCGTGCTCTCATAGTGTGGCTGGTGTTAGCGCTGGACCATCTGTGAAAATTACGTCACACCAACCAGCCACTGTAAACCTAATGAAAATTAAAGTCGTAACAATGGAAGATTATGGCCAGTATCCGACTAAATCACAGAAGTTGTACTGATGCTTAACGAAAGAATTAAGGCCCAAAGCTTAGCACACAGCACAGCAGTCAACACTGACAGCGCAGATAACGCTGACAGCAGCTGTGGGCAGCACGCAGCCCAGGCTGCCCCTAGCTGCTGTGGGCACACAGGCATGCTAAGCTTCAGATCTATAAATTAGAGACTGATTTTAAGTTATTCACTTACCTACTTTTGTCCACTGTGCTAAACTAAAGTTTATGGTCAATGTGCTATACTGTGTAAACACTTCAAAGCAATCTTCATTAAAATGCTGCAAAGAAAACAAGACTACGCTTCATCCAAACCCAGGATGTCATTGCAGTTCACAGTCTGTAATAAATACCCTCCCTGCCCACGCGGCTAAGGTCACTACCATCTACCTACGCGACAGCACCACCTCGAGGTGACGTAGACTCACACGATCGGCAATGTGGCCACACGTTTCAGCCGTCTGCAAAGCCAGACACTCGCGAAACAGAAGATTCTAAAAGCGGTGCAAAGAGAAAAGTCAGTCTGTGTCTTAACTGAAATATAAAAGCAAAGCCCAGTCCATCCTAACACTGTACTGCATGTTGAGCTCCCCTGATCATTTCGATGCGTGTCACTGGAGCACAATGGCCAAGGTTTGTGACCACAGCTTCTCGCTCACGTGATGTCTGCGATGGAAGTAACACTGAGCCGAGCGCATCTGAGGGCCGAAACCTGTTTATGACTGAAAGTGGTCAGTACCGTCTAGTTCAGGTCATAACTCACACTTTTCTTGTCACCTGTTCAAATTAAACAAAACATGTAAGTCTACTTGAAGGTTCTCCTGCCGCGTGCGGAACCCCGACGTCCCTCCT